GCCATAACTGAGACACCTCACTCAGCCCAGGGAGAGAGGAAGCTGGTGAGCCACCCCAAGAGCTCAAGGCCCACAGCCGTGCCTCATTTTCATAGTTCCTCCAGGATTCTGTTGTTGACAGGTGACACGTGGCCACAAATGCTCTCACTGTCTCACAGTTTCCTGCCAATGTGGGTTTCACTTAGTGGCCAATGTATCTGCTCCTACATGAGTAGTTTCACAGGCAACTCCACTAACATCCATGTTTGTCATTAGGCACCACCAGCCAGCAACAGTACTGGAGTTCACCTTGGGAAGGGGTCATGCACCTCCTGTCCTTCCTTCCTCTTCAGTATTAGGGACTTGTGCTGGTAGCTCACAGCAGCATCTCTGAATGCGCACAAGCACATCCTTGAGGGGTTTAGCTAGAGGTACAGCCTTAGACTAAGAGGTGTGTCTGGTGTGATGATCTGAGAGCATTTCCCTCAGCTTCTGTGTTCTCCCTGTGTGCAGTCACGGCTCTGGGAAGCAAAGCTGTGTCTGATCACCCTCTCCTCCTAATATGTTGATGGGGCTCCAGCAGAGGCGAGAGCCCCAAGCTCATGCTCCTCCGAAAGCGTGCCTTCTCTCTGGTGGTTGACAGGTGCTCATGAGTACAAGTCCTGCATCTGGCTGACCTTGCTGGGTGGAGCCCTGTGTTCTAAGGAGGTGAGGCTGGTGATGTTCTTAATCTGCCCTGGCTGCTTCCATAACCAGGTCCCACAGCTGGGTGGCTTAAGCAATAGGCACTGTTTTCTGTTTTGGAGGCTGAAAGCCCAAGATCAAAGTATCATGGTGCTTGGTTTGTTCCGAGGCCCCTTCCCTCAGATGGCAGATGGCCACCTTCTCATGGTCCTTTTCTCTGTGGGCACATCCTTGCTGTCTCCCTCTTGTTATCAGGACCCAAGCCTTACTGGACTAGAGTTCATTCTTAGGACCTCATTGAACCTCATTAGAGACTCCATCTATAAAGGGTCACAGTGGGGATTAGGGCTTCCTTGTGGGTCCACATCACCCGACTTAATGACCTCCAGCTTCAATTCTGAAGAAATTGGTCAAGTTGCCAATAGGGTCTGCCAAGGCCAAGAGGCAGAAAACAGAATCCTCCCAGGTTTCCTGTCTTCTACACAAGGTAGGAGATCATCTGCATATGACATCAGAACCAAACCACAAGGGAATTGTGGGTCTTACTCTTGAGGACCAGGAAGAGGTGGTGGTGCTTCAGTGCCCCTGGGCCGGCAATCCAAGCACCTGAGCCCAGTGAAGGTGCACAGATGTGGCTGTCCTGCTCTGCAGACGCACTGGGGAGGGCAGAGCTGAGGCCCACACAAGGAAGCAAGTAACTGTAGGAGCATCTAGGGAGGGTGGTACTCTACCTGGACTGCAGGCTCCAGGGAGACTGCTACCTAGACCTCCACACAGCCAGCTCCAGGGTCAGGGGAGGGCAGGAAGGAAACTGGTGCTCTTCCCTGATCTGTACCAAGGGGGCTTTCTTTCTAGGATAGGATCCTCCTTCCCCAGTGATGCCTTTGCTCAGTGTCCACATGTGCTTGTCCGCAGCTGGTGGCAGTGAGGGGGCCACCTGCCTGTGTGAGCTGCAGGGCCACAAGTTCATTTTGGTCCTGCCTTATTTTGTTCTATAACCCTCTTAAATGTTCTGCCAGGTGTTGTGTTTCAGCTCCAGGATCACAACTCACATACACACACACACACACACACACACACACACACACACACACTCCCTGTATCTAATTTCTGTTTTCAAATTAGGTTTGACTCTATTGAGCAGATGGGATAGAGAGGGACTCCTAGGCCCTCACTCCTCAGCCTGACTGCTGTCAGAGCTTGCCTTCCAGTCTTCCCAGAACCCAGGGGTCTCTTCTTTCCCTGTGGGCACAGTTCTTCCAATCATTTCCATTGGAAGTGTTTGGACATGGCTTTTAGGAGACTTTGCCCTGCTACCTTTTCTGACCGTTGGGTTTATTTGTGGGGAGAAGGTCAAGTTGATATTACCTAAGGTAACCCTGAGTCCTGTGCCCTGAGAGTTCCAAATTCTTCTGTTGGTTGTTGATCTTGTCTGGGTTTGGAGAAATCCTTCATCATAGCTCTTAATTCAGCTCTGGTTCAGGTTTAAATTGCCTATGTCACCAGTTTGGTTGGGGGATTCTACAAGTACTCAGCATCAGGGGTCTTAGGAGCATTGTTGGGAAAAGGCAGAGGTGGAGTTGCCTGAGAATGGTGTTGAAAAGATGGGAATCGGGGCAGGAGGTGCTAGAGGGCTAGAAGGGAGGACCTACTGGATAGCATCTGAGATCTTTCAAATTATTTATTTGCTTTAGCTAAAGAATCTTTCAGTGAAGCAATTTTTAAATCAGAATTTCATTAGGAGACCTATTCACACTGATCCAAAAAATGCTGCTCCACTGGGCATGAGAAACCTTGTCCACTTTTTTTATAAGTTGGTATCCATATATAGGGTTTAACCCAGGGCACTCCACCACTGAGCTACAGCCCAGCCCATTTTTATTTATTTATTCATTTATTCATTTTTTTTTCAGTTGTAAATGGGCACAGTGCTTTTATTTTATTTGTTTTTATGCAGTGCTGAGGATTGAACCCAGTGCCTCACAGGTGCTAGGAAAGTGCTCTATCACTGAGCTACAGCCCCAGCCCCCCATTTTTATTTTTATTTTGAGACAAGGTCTCACCAATTTGATTAGGGTCTTGCTAAGTTGCCACGCCCAGCTATAACATTCCTCTTGAATGGACCGTTTTATACTCAAGACTAGTGTTCCCAGAGTGGTCACCAAAGGCCCGAGTCATGCTTGGTGGAGAGACACCACAAATGGGCAGGTGTGGAACCAGGGCTTCAGTGGGTGAGGTTCAGGAAGAGGAGGCTTAGACAGACTGTGGAAGCTGGCAGCAAGTAGGACTGCAGCCCACATGCCTTCAGCCACCCCAACCCCATCAGTGGAACCAGAGGGACAGTCCCTCCACATCAAATAAGCTCTTAGCACAGACAGTTGAAAGGAGGAGAGCTCCATCTAAGAACCAGGTGTGTCCATGTGGTTGTTAGTCCAGGACGACAGCAGCTTGTGTTTGGCCCTGAGGCTCCTCATCATGACCAGCAACACACCGAAACCAGCAGGGGGATGGAAGGGCGTGACTCAACCCATCAGGGAGGTAAACAGATGGAACCAGCTGCCAGACCAGGCCCCAGGCTGGGAATGCACAACCCAGGAGCTCCATGCCTGAGAATGGGTCCAGACCCAGAGCCAACTCCGCCATGCTCAACAGGCAGGAACAGCAGGCACAGGGCCTCTGGAGAAACATACCTGGGTGGGAGCTGGGTCCATGTGGAGATGAAGAGGCTACCTGGATGGAGCAGCAGAGGCCACATGTGCAGGGCTAGCTATGGCAAGAGGGCCGGCCACCCTTACTTGTGCAGGAGGTCAACTTGTGCTGAGCAAGGGCAGCCTTCGATCCACGTGTCCTGGTAGGGCCGCTGCTGGGAGCAGGGGCTGGGTCACAGAAGCAGAGCCTCCTAGTGATGGATTGGAGCAAGTGCTTATTTTCCCGTGGTCCTGAGTAGGAAGCAGGGCAAGCATGAGGGAAGCTGCAGTCCTTGGCCAAGCACTGCAACGGCTCTTACTTGACTTCCTGTGCTGGGGATCACAGAGGTTGTGGACCCAGCTCCCCGGGCACCTACAGCCTGGCCCAGGCATTTGTGTTTTGACTCTCTTTCCGTCCTGGCTTCTCCCCGTGCCCCAGCTGCTCCCTCTATAAGCAGACTCTCCAGTGCTGGAGTGACTTGCCCACGTGTCACAGGGTTTTCACACACACAGAGCTGTGCAACTTCCTGGTGACTTCCTTGTGCAGCCTGCAGGCAGAGAGCCCCTTGGAAGCTTCCTTTCCACTGGGCCTGGCAGGTCTGCTTTAAAGGGACACCTCTCTCCTTGTCCTCATGCACCTCCTGACATGTCACTTTAGAACGATTTAATGTGCTACTTTTCATGACTTAATATTGTTTTCAAAAAGAAGAGAGGCATGAGTTGGTGGGGAGCAAATTGTTATACAAATCATAACTCGGAAAGTGGTGGAGCCCTGTGAGGGACCGTTCCTGAGATGGCTGGGCATGTGGGGAGCCCCTCTGGACGTGCTGCACACTGTGGTGGGGCCTGGGTCTCCATAGGTCCTTGCTTCTTCACAACCCAGACACTGGAGGTATCGCCTGCCCCATCAGTTGCCAGCCTGAACCAGAAGCTGGATGTCTCCTTTGTGTCAAAACCACAAGCTGAACATAATGGCTACCCAGGCAGGCCGGCTCCAAACCCATCATCACACCTCTGCTGCCCTTTGCCTTCTGACTCATCTCTCTCCTCAGTGCGGGGCACCAGACAGCCACTTTCCACCCTACACCTCCAATCCTTGGCAGTCACGCTTGTCATACCCACCCCAGATGGTCTCTGCTCTGCAGTGCTCCCACCTCACACGTCTATCTGTGCAAGCCCTGGTACCCCCAGGCCTTCAGACTTCTTTTCTTTTTTTTTTTTTTTTTTTTTTTGGTACCGGGATTGAACTCAGGAGCCCTCAACCTCTAAGCCACATCCCCAGCCCTATTTTGTATTTTATTTAGAGACAGGGTCTCACTGAGTTGCTTAGCATCTCGTTTTTGCTGAGGTTGACTTTGAACTAGCTATCCTCCTGCCTCAGCCTCCCAAGCCACTGAGATTACAGGTGTGTGCCACCAAACCTGGCCACAGGTGTCCTTTTGATCTGTGTGCCCTGCCTGAGGTCTTCTGCAGCTTGGAGACCACCCATCCTGTCCTCTGTGTCCCTTCCCCGTCGGGGAGGGATTCATGGGCCCTGCAAGGTGCATGGGGCTGGTGCAGAGCACAGATGCTGTGCACACTCCTCTCAGTATCCCAGCCATGCAGCTGTACTCCCTGATGTGGTGCCAACATGCATCTTTTCCTCCCTAGGACATCATCAACTCCATGAGCAACAGCCCTGCTACCAGCAAGCCCCCAGTGACGCTGAGGCTGGTGGTCCCAGCCAGCCAGTGCGGGTCCCTAATTGGCAAAGGCGGCTCCAAGATCAAGGAGATAAGGGAGGTACCAAGACCTTCCCCACCATCTCTCTGCACGTCCCCTATGCAGCCTGCCATCACTGGCACTAGCTGTTGCAGATTCTGATAGCCTGACGCTTACATGCAACAGGGACAGTCAGTCCAATGAACTAGTGAAAAGCGGAGTGTGGGGGACCCACACAGTGACCTCGTGTAGGGAGTAGCCCTACTGGTGGTTAGGAAGGGTCTCCAGTCCCCAGGGAAAGCTGAGCCTCCCCTGACATGGGAGGCAGCCACCCACTTGACCCCTCCCCAGGAGGTCCCCAAGCGACCTGGACTCTGGAGGAGATGGGGTTCTGGGTGAGGAGAGAGCAGTCCATCTCCTGCAAACTCCATGCCCTCCCAGGGGCATGGCCTCCTGCCTGAGGGCCATGTGCTCCCAGAGGAGACTGCAGAGGCTGGGTGTCCAGGCAGGGGTGGAGGGAGGGGACATAGGGGGCAACACTGTGGTCCTGTGCAGCATGGCCAGCCAGGCCCTGTGTCAGGTGAAGGGCTGTCCATTGTGTAGACTGCCCTGAGTATCCCCAAGATTCTGGAGATACCACGTATCCTGTGCACAATACCACCCTCCTTTTCTACTGTCCACTTCCAATGTCCCTTTTCTCCAGTCCACAGGTGCCCAAGTCCAGGTGGCCGGGGACATGCTGCCCAACTCCACGGAGCGGGCAGTGACCATTTCAGGGACGCCAGATGCCATTATACAGTGCGTCAAGCAGATCTGTGTGGTCATGCTGGAGGTACAGTCACGTCACCAGCCCACCCTCTCTGCGCTCAGCGCTGGGTTCACTCTGCGTCCTGGCAGAGCCCAGGCACCTCCTTGATGCTGAGGATTCCCACGGTTGGTTGGGGCATGACATGAGGATCTGGAAGTCCCTAGACCCAGCTTCCCAGGCTGCAGTTCCCTGGGGAGGGCAGCTGGGGTCTGCCCTTGCCCCCCAACAGCCCCTCTGCCTGGAGCATCAGTGCCACCTTTGTCAGTTCAGAGAGAGCACAGGAAGAAGCACACTTCTCTCACTTTGGAGCTGGACAGCTTTGTCCTGGTGAGAGGGTTTGAGGCCAGAGAGAGCCTGCCCTGGAGGGGCTGACCTTGTGGAGGCCAGTGTGGTGGAGGTGAGGGGGAGGGAGGGTTGCAGTGCCCATCTCAGCAGGGTGGGGCCAGAAGCTTCCGTGTTCCCCAGGTCTGCAGATGGCACCGAGAACTGCCTCTGAGGCCAACGGGGCAGACTCAGGACGAACACACAAAGTGCCCAGCGTGGAGATGGAGATGAGGGGACAGAAGGATAAAACGAAGCAGAGGAGTCGCAGCAGTCCAGGAGGAAAGAACCCAAGAATCAAATTCCAGTCAAAGCCAAATTCTCGGCACTGTCAGTAGCTGCTCGTCTTTACTGAAGCGACTGCAGCAAGCCCACCCCAGAAGAAAGGTCCTCCTGCCTCACGGCGACTGGCTTCCCCTCCGTCCCCCTCCCGTGGCCAGGCTGTGCGTCCACATCGCACCTGGCTGGGGCTGGGGTCCCCCAGGAGCCATAGCCTTGCTAGATGGCCACCAGCTCTGTCCCTTTTCATATTTGGCTCTGCGCTCCAACTCCATGTTTCTTTTTTGCTTGTTTTTCAGCACTGGAGATTAAACCCAGGGGTGTGCTTCCACTGAGCTACATCCCCAGCCTTTTTATTTTGAGATAGGGTCTCATTGATTTGCCCAGGCTGGTGTCAAACTTGATATCCTCCTGCCTCTGGAGCAGTTGGAATTACAGGCATGCACCACCATACCCAGCCTCAAACCCCATGTTTAATTCTAAAATTTCTTATGATTTTATTTTCATGAGGTATGATATTTTGAGAAGTCTAAAACATTTTTCAAAATATTCTTATTGTGAATTTCCCCCACACGCTGGTCAGGGTTACAGAGTGTTGCTGGTCTGAGTAACTGGAAACCCGAGGCTCACCAAACAGGCCTGCAAGTGGCACCCTCGGAGTGGCAACCAATGACCCTGCCTCCTACTTCCCTGGTCAGGGATGGTGCCCAGCTCTTAGGACAAAGTGTATGGTCTTGTCAAATTCCTCCAGCTGATTGCCTGCCGGTGGTGGTGGGAAGATACCGGCCCCCCTCAGAGGCAGGTAGGGCCATGGGCTGTGGTATGTCGGTGCCCCATGCTGAGTGTGGGAACCATCTTGTCTCCTCCTGATGGAGTGACATGGGAGACAGGGGAGCTGCAGGTACAAACAGAAGATGGATGTTGGCCTGACAAGACCCCTATTCTTCACATCCTGTGGCTGGCAGAAGGTTGGGAGCCGTTCTTCCCAGGAGAGGAGGGTGCGTCACCCACAGAAGCAGTGTAGCTGGAAATAAAAGCAAAGGATGGTTTGAGGCCCTCCTTGTCAATCAGAGGACTTTGGGGCTGGTGCATGGGGTATGCCTTGCACTCCTAAAATTGCAAAAGAAAGGGCTGTCCCATGATGAGCCTATGTGGGGCCTGCAGATAACACAGGTGTCACAACAGTGGGCCACCTGCACTTCTGTGCCCATCAAGGAAAGGTCTGTGTGCTTGGCCCCTCCTGAGGAACAGCGGCTGCTAGAGAGTCTCTCCTCTGTGGTGAGAAGGGCATTTGGGAGTTACAGTCATGCAGTGCTGCAGAACAGGGCAGGGAGTGGAGCTCTGGGCTAAGAGGCTGAGGAGGTCGGCCAGGGGCAGGGCAGCAGTGGTACAGTACAGAGGTCAACTCTGGCCCTCCAGCATGATTCTTCTACAGCCAACCCTGAGTCTGACTATGAAGCCTTGGCCTGAAGCGAGCCCTGGTCTGCATGGAGGCACTTGGAGGCATTTGGTCAGTACCCCACGAACACAGAAGATGGGCCTCCCTATTACTGGCATCACCCAGACGCAGCCTGGGCCTGCTCACGCCCACTCTGCACCATCCCCACCACAACATTGTCACCCAGCAAGACCTGTGCTACCATGGACACTGCGCCCACCCTGAGGGGTGGGTCCCCCATTGTGTGCTCAAAGGTCACACCCAACAGGCCTGGGGTGCCGCTGGTCCTTGAGTGGTCTGTGGCCCCAAAACGCCCACAGGGCAGGCTATCCCCAGCCTCCCTGTGCTGCAACAGCCTGTAGCCCTCAGTGCCTCCTGGCCTATCCCTCGGACCTGCTCCCAGGGGACAGGGAGTGGGGCCAGGTAGCGGCTGACCACTCCTGACCAGGTGAAGAGGGCTGGGGAAGGTTATGGTGCTGAAGAATGTCCTTCACCTAAGATAAGAATCCTATACTTTGGACACAGAATAACCAAGGAAAACTATAACAAACCTCATCCTGATTGTGGAATACTTCATTTGGCATCTGCGTAATAAAATGGTGTTTTTCTAATGGCAACACTGGATGTTTATGAGTTTCCTGTGACCATCTCTACTGACTGTTGTCGTGGACCAGGAAAGCCCTAGGGGCATTGGACAGCAGTTCCCACAGCGCTGTGTGCGAGGCTCAGTTTTTGCCAGAGAACTCAAGCATTTCTGTCAGAGAATGCCTAGCTGTCCACCTGTGAAGTCACAGCCAGGCCCAGCTCATGGATGCCATGCACATTCTGGCCCTCGAGGGCCACCCCAGGAGGAGGGGTGGCGGCAGGATGAGCGAACACTGCAGAGCCCACCTCAGCCAGCAGCCTCAGCAGGGTCCCAGGGGCAGGTGGCTGCCCTGCTGGCCTCCCATAACCGACACGCCACACCTCACAGCGCTGCCACGTCCTGCTGGACTGGGCGGCAGGGTCGTGTTGGGGTGGGGGCCTTGGTGGGAAGGAGCCTGTCTGAAGGAAGTGGCCGTGAGGATGGGGGGCACCGCCCTGCCCTTGGTGTGCTTCGAGGATGCTCTGCTCCTCTTGGTGCCCCCTGGCCTGGGCTGCTCCCTCCAGCACCACCACAGCCTCTGAGCCCTTGCCTGGGCCAAGTCTGGAGCTTGGGGTCTATGCAGAGGGGCGGGCTCGGGAAGGCAGCCCCCACGGCCAGCTGCCAGGCTTCTCTAACGCTCTCTCTCCCTCTCCTGTCCCTTTTCCTAGTCCCCACCGAAAGGTGCCACCATTCCCTACCGCCCAAAGCCCGCCTCCACCCCTGTCATTTTTGCAGGTGGTCAGGTAAGAGCCGACCCGCTCGCGGCCTCCACTGCCAACCTCAGCCTTTTACTGCAGCACCCGCCGCTGCCCGTTAGTGCACTCAGGTTTTCTCGCCTTCTCACGTGCACGTCTCCCACCCACCGGACAGACGCAGAGCTCTCCTGGCCCACACCAGTTGGTGGGTGGGAGCAAGGGAGACAGGTCTCCCAAGTGTGGCCCCTGACCTAGACAGGAAGGACCCTCACATCAGGGCACACAGGTCTCTGCCCAGGCCACACCTGCCAAACCTAGTTCTTGGATGTGACTGAGCTGCTTGGGTAGAGACAAGGGCACCTGGGCAACTTACGGCTCGTGTTGGAGGCCACAGGGGCTGTGAGAACTAGGGTCCCCAGACCCCACAGCACACTCCAAGTAGGAGCTGTGCAAACACTAGAGGAGGGAGGAGCAGCTGCAGGCCAGGCAGCCCTGGCCCTGCTGGCCCTGACACCCCCACCCTGACACCTGCCCTAGCAGGTGTCCTCAAATCACAGAGCACCCGCGTTGACAGCCCAGATCTTGCACATTTGAGCCCCCCACCCCTGTTTTCCTGGAGAAGAAACCTGGAAGGATGGGTAGAGAGGAACTGTGTGCTCTGGCTGGGCCAGACCCCTGGAGAAGAGGCAGGAGAAGGGCCATGCCCCGGCTTCCTCCTTTGTGGCCACCTCAGGCCATACTGCCCATCCACACAGATGATTTGCACACGTCCAGCTGGGGTTGACCTGGAAGAGCTCTGTGTCCAGCCGGCCGCGATGTCTGTCTTTGTTCAAGGGAGAGTTGAGAGAGAGATGTCCCCACAGGTGGTCCAGCCGGTGTGGAGTGGGCATGGGAGTTTATCATCTAAAAAGAAGGAGGACAAGGAAAATGTTTCCTCATGTCTTTCTCATTGGTGTGGAGAAATCTTATCAGATCCTGCGACTGGCCCATGGTAGAGGAAGGGACAGGGAGCCTGCATTTCCATTCCTTTGGCCAGACACATGGTGCATCCTCAGGCTTGCCCCCACCCCACCTGTCTCATGCCTCTGGTCTGCCCCTCTGTCGGCAGGGAGCCCTCCTGTGCACACCGTCCTCACGTAGCCCCAGCATGTGGCCCATGCCCTACCGCAGGTCAGAAAGCCAGGCCCTGCATGGTGAAGGGCTGCAGGCTGCCCTGGTGGAGCACACGCCACGCAGCACCTCCTCACCCCAGTTCCACCGCACACTTCCATGAGTTCATGGAGGTTGGCATCAGCAGACCCTGGGGACTCCCCCAGTGTTGAAGCAAACCCTTCATGGCATCTGCAGTGAAATGTGGGGTTCGTTCACTCCAAGGGAGGTGCCTTTATACAGACACATCTGCAGAGCCAGATGACATGAGCTCTGGTGGCAAAGCCACATAGGGGGACCCCATCTTCCTGTGAAACAGGCAGATGCACCACCCCTCCAGTCATTGCCATGTGCCCTCCAGGTCATGGTGCCATGGCATTTGTAGGGCCCACCACTGTGCCCTTGGAACAGTGTGGTAGCCAGCGATGGCCTTGATTGTGACACGTGGATAGTCACACAGGAGTCACTTCTGAGTGCAGGTCACCCAGGAAAGKATCCAAAATGCAAACTGAGAAGTGAGGTATAGCAGAACTCAGAAGTATCTGCTTAGGCCACGACCCAAGCTCTCCAGGACTCAAGCCCCCACATGCCCAAGAGTAGCATGCATGACAGACACAGAGGAGGGAGCCTGGCACTCATCCCCTTGAGCAGGGGAGTGATGATGCCACAGGCCAGAGTGCTCAGCAGCACTGTCCACACAGCTGTCACTGCAGGCATCACCTGGGCACCCTCAGGCAGAGCCTACGGGGAACAGGCAGGTGTGAGACGGTCCACAGTGAGCAGTGACCTAAGCAGCACTCACTCACTCACCACTCAGCTCAGACCTGTGGGCCCAGAGAGAGCAACCCCCTGTGTCCCAGGGGCCTGGCCCATGGGTACTGCAGAGGTCCCTACAGTAGCTAACACATAGGAGCACGTACGTCCCCGGCAGCAACTTTGCAGAACCTGAGGCTGGGTCTCCAAGCCCTGCTCCTTTCCTAGAACATCGCTGTATCTGGTAAGATTCCTCTACTCCCTCCATCAGCACAGTGGGGCTGTCCCAGCCAGCACCTTGCTCCACTGGGCCTGAATCTGTTTCAGGGCTGGACTGCGGCTGGGTCCCTGTCGGGTGGTAGATGGACCTTGAACTCCTGGGACGGGTTGTTGATGAAAACTCTGGACAGGTTAGAAACCTGTGGGAGGGCCTAGGGTCCAGAGCAGTGACGGGGGTCTCCCTGAGGTCTTCCTCTCAGACATCGGCGGCCCCGAGTGGAGACACAAGTGGACCACACATGTCCTCTTGGGATGGGGGCCCCACACATCCAGGTGCCAGGAACCACATCCTCACTCTGCCTCCACCAGGCCTGGTGGCCCCCCAGCAAAGCCAGGTCCACCTTCTGTGCGCCTGCTCTCCCTTGACTCCGTGGCTCCTACGTGATCTGGCCAGGAGCTTCTGAACCACAGGAGGCATCTGGGCTGAAGGGACCTCGGGGGCTCTGCCATCACTGGGGCATCAGGGTGAGGTGGGCAGGCCCTCAGAGTGGGTGGTTGCTGAGCTGGCTCAGTCACAGAGCTCAGGCAAGGAGGTCGTGAAAACGAGTCCCAGGTTCCCATAGACACTCTGGGAGGGAAGCCCCCCTTTCGGGATGCAGCTGTAGATTTGATGGGAAGAACCAGCTGGGCCGAATGAGATCTCCTCCATCTGGCTTTTGCAGGTTTGGGACATCTTTTAAAGCTTTCTTTTTCTGTTTGAATGTCTTGGGGGCAAATATTTCCCCTACTATCTACTCTGAGGGTTGATTAATGTTAATGGACCTCTCACTTGGGTCAAGTCAATCACCCTCGGGGCTTTCTTTTAGGAAAAGGGGTGAGCTTGCCGTCCCCTGCCTCCTGCTGGTGTGGCCGCTCAGTGTGCTGCCGCTCAGGGAGGGGTGCAGCTCTCTGGCCTGCCCTGGCCTCCTCCTTCCCTGAGAAGAGTGGCCTTTGTCCTGAGCAAACAGGAGCAGGTAGAGGAGCACACTGAGGGAGAGCTGTCACCAGAGGGTTCTTGTTGTGCAGGGGAGGGTTGCCAGGGTGTGGCAGGCCGAGGTCTGCCACGATATAAGCTGAAGGTCTCTCTCTCTTTCTCCAGGCCTACACGATCCAGGGACAGTACGCCATCCCCCACCCGGATGTGAGTCTTCACTTTGTCTACCTTCCACCCTTCTATTCTTTCTGTCGTGTGCCCACCTGCATGCCGCTGTTAGTTGCTACTAATATTAATATTACATAATAATATTAACCAGTTTTCTCAGTGCTCCTGACCCGTGTTGTATCCATATGACCTGAATAACCTTTTGACCTCTTGGCACTCATTCCGCTTGTGCTGAGGACTTGGCCTGATGGCAGATTGTGTCCGCTGACTGCTACAGTCCAGGGCTCCCTCCCACACACGCACACTGAGATGGCTGCGGTGGCCCCCACCCTGCAGGAGCCACCTGCCCTGATGGCAGGGTGCCAGCTCACCTTCTGCAGCAGGTGTGGGCGCAGTGTTCTAGGTGCACCTAAGGAGTTAGGCGATGTTTTCAAGATGGGTCTTCTAAGGTACCTTGGAAACGGCACCTGAGTGCCTGGTGGAGCAAAGCAGTCCCCTCCAGGGCCCAGGCTGAAGCTTAGAGTGCACCATGCACAGACCCCAGGGTCAAAAGCCAGCAAGCCCTCGTTTCCTCCTGGAGCTAGAAAGATGCCACATGGTAGCTCTGGCACCTGGGCTCCTAGCTGAGCCGCTCCAGCTGAGCTTGTGGTGCTGCTCCTCGACCAGGGTCTGCTCAGGTATCTCCTGGTCACAGGAGAGTCTGAATGTATAATTGGTACAGCAGTTCTTTGTGCAGAGATCTGGGTGCAGAGGGGACCACAGTGGCACTAGAGCAGTGGGGCTACAGCCTTTAGGGGCCCAGAGGTAAAGGGCCACAGCCATGAACAGAGGGTGTTCTTGAGAAGGCTTTAGAGATACCAGTCAGTGGGTCTGTGCTAGAAAACAGAAATGAGGGGAGTGGGGAAAACAGGAGAAAGGCAGCCAGGTCGGGTCCTCTGTGTGTGCAAGTTAATTCTGAGGCTGCAGCAGTCTGTGCGATCTCCACTCAGCCCCAGAGCTAGGCAGCCATCAGGCAGGGCCGGGCCCACTGAGCCTGTGGTGCCCATCAGTCCTCTCCAGATCCTTGCATTTGAGTTGAGCAGGAAGCAGAAGCTCATCTGGATAAAAGCTGAAGGCAGGACAGGGGAGATTTTTTTTAAATTAACTACCACTAAAGAATTTGAAATAGAGGCAATTCACTATCATTGCAGGAAAATTTCTGTTGGGTGAAAGATAAATACTACTGGGTTTTATTTTTCCTTTAAATGAAGCACACACAAGTCAATGATGGAGAAACAAGGATAAGAGGGGTCCTTCCCACCTGCAGTCACACTCAGGCATGTATATTGGTTCCTGGTTTCAGACGTGACTGATACTGCTATGACTGGTCAACTGTGGACACATCTGCCTGTGGCCACCCTGGAGGCTGAGGCCATGGGCCACCTTGCATTCACTGCCACATCCCTTCTTCCCTCGGCCTGCACTTAGCTGTCAGTGCCACATAAGCAGAGCATGTGCACTCCTATGCCCAGAGAGGCTGCCTCACTGTGGCCCATGGCCACTGTAGAGCACTTGAAGTGAAGGGGGCAGGTGGGGCCAGGGCTTGGCTTCCAGGATGGCCAGTCTTCCTGAAATGCATGTGTGCAGACACAGATGCCAAAGTCTGGCTGTCAAACCTAGAGCCACAGACAGCAGAGTCTGGCACCCTGGTGGAGGCAGCTGGCTGAAGAGGTTGAGTGTTGTCTGTCTTTACACCAGCTGGTAGTTTCAGAGTCAGACCTCCTGACCTGCAGGGACCATTTGGCAAGCTGGTGAGTTTCCTTCAGGCAAGAGTCCAAAGCTCGCACTGATCTTTTAGAGAAGGTACGGACACTTGCCTTGATGGAAAGGTATTTCTGAACTGAGATTTGCAGAGGTTGCGGCTTAGGCGTGTGTGTGGGAGTGAGATTTCGATTGGTTTGGTTGGCTGTTCTGTTTTGAGTGGTGGTTTTGCTCTTCCCCACGTGGCTTTCCTCAGTACCTCTCCAGTAGGTAGTTTACAAATTGTTTCAGATTAGTTTAAGCTAATGAATAACTATTATGCAGTCGCCTCTTCGGTGTGGTGAGATTTGAAGTACTTGGTGCTGTGGTTTGAATGTGTCCTTCCAGAGTTCATATGTGGAGACCTAATTGTGACAGTGATGGCCTCAGAAGGTGCCTCTGCAAGGGGAGAAACGTGCAAGGCCTGAGCCTCATGAGTGGAATTAGTGCTCTTAAAAAGACGCCTCAGTGTGGATGTGGTGGTGGTACCTGTGATCCCAGTGACTGGGAAGCCAAGCCAGGAGGATCCCAAGTCCCAGGCCAGCCTCATCAGCTTAGTGAGGTTCTGTCTCAATATAAATGTAAAAGGGTTAGGGATTGTGGCTCTGTGGTAAAGCACCACTGGCTCAATCCTCAGTAAATCACACACACACACACACACACACACACACACGAAACAAGGGAAGGAGGATTTGCCTTCCCTCTGTCCCTTTCACATGAGAACATGGCACTCAGGGCACCACCTTGGAAGTAGACAGGGGCCCTCACCAGACTCAGAGCCCATGGCATTTGATCCTAGGCCTCCAGGCCTGTTAACTGTGAGCAGTAAGTTATGCTGTCTGCAGATTATCCAGTCTAAAGTCTTTGGTTGGAGCAGCCCGAATGGACTAGGCCTTGGTCATTTGTCCTGAGATGGCTTTCTGTGGAAGTCATTCTGTTCTCTATAGCAGTGTCGTGTGACTTGCAAGCAGAGTGGGGTATTCCCAAGTGCCTTTCTTGCAGACACATGAAATGAAGTCTTGGGCAACCACTTGGATAACCCACAGAAAGCAAAGGCAAGACGATTGCTTAGTGACACAGGTGATGGTGGCTCCAGACGTGCATGTACCTGAGCTTCGTGCGTGCTTATAGGAATTTGAAGGCTTCAGTTTCTTAGAAGGAAAATATGAGTACAGGACAAGCTAACTGACTTATTTCACAGTGTGACTGAATACAAAGTGCATGCCCACCACAGTGGCCGGCACTTGGGTCCTGCAGTCTCTTTCGGCAGCTTGACTTCCTGTCTGGCTGTGCATGTCCAGTTCAGACGTGTGGACCTGATAAGGTCTGCTCCTGGCCACTGAGTGCTTTGTCTAGACCCAGAACATTCGCATGTCCTGTGCTGGTTTCAGACAATGCTTTTAGGTGCTCTTAAGTGGACCCTTATTTAATAATCCTGAACACTGGCCCACCCCACAGCTCCCTGCTGCCCTCCACACACCTCCTGCGTTGTTCACCCAAACCCCTGGCCGCTCCTGGAGCTCTGGAGGCTCAGGCATCATGAAGAGGCACAGAGTGCTGCTGAACAGGGGGAGGACTTGGTTCAACACCCCCAAGTTCCCCAGGATGGCAGTCAGCAGCCTTGGGAAAACTGTCCATGTACCATGGTGTCCTGCCAGGATCAGGTCAGGTGTGGTCCAGATTCACGGAAGGGAAACAGCACCAGTATTGGGGCATGGAACAGGAAAGAGGGCACGCAGACCCTGGACAGACATGGAGACCGGGTGGGCTGCAAGGCTTGCTTCTTCCTGTTTCTGTCATTTTACTTACAGTGGTACAGTTAACTCCAGGAAAGGCTTGCTTTCCTCTTGGAGAAACTGCACACATGCTCGACTTACAATAGGGGTGTGTCCCGATAAGCCCTCATAAGTAGAAATTGCACCTAAAGCACAACCTGCCAAGTCTCCTGGTTTAGCCACAGCACAGCCCAGGGTCAGCTCTGTACCGTCATGAAGGCAGACTTGAACTCTCGCTGCCCAGCATCCCCGTGGAGTGTGGAGCACAAATCACCAGCTAGAAGAAGGCCCAAGCTCCAGGCAGTTTCTACTGAGTGCATATTGTTTAGACTACCACAAGGCCAGATCGTCAGAAGTCAGGGGCCCTCAGGTGAACTTAGAAGCACCCTCAGGCATGCATCTTTATATCTAGCCTTCAGAGTTTCCAGACCACTCCCTTGCTTGGCATCCCCATCAATTGAAAGATGAAGAAAGCAGCAAAGTTGAAACCATAGCCTGTGAGCAATGACAGAGGATTTGCCATCTGTCCTCTCCAGAGCCTGCACAGCCAGGAGGTCCACCCCAGGACTGTCGGCCTCATACCTGAAAGAAGCTCTGAGAGATTCCCCTGGCAGAGAGGGGGGCAGTGCCATGGAGGGCGTTGAGCACTCTGGAGTGGTCAGCACCAGGACTGATAAGGAATTTGCTCTTTATTTGGAATATAGTGGGGAGAATGTGGAGGTGTGTATCAGAGTAAAAGAAAAACGTGGGCTGGAAGTGCCTTCATCCCAGCGTCTGTCACAGTGCCTCTGAGGTGGGGAACACTTACTGTGGACCTGTGGAGAACAGAAAGTCTGTGTACTGCAGAGCTTGGGGCAGAGAGCTGTGGAGAGCTTCCCCTCCCATTTGTTCATCATCTCCCTCCAGAACCCTGTAGAGAGGTGGGTGAGAGGACTCTCTCATTGATGGTGAAAAAAGAGGAAAGAGCCAACACCCCATCCCATGGACACACAGCTGATGGCCACACCCCGGGCCCTGAGCCTGTGTTCTTGCCAAGATGCTGGATCAGGAGTGCCACAGAGGCTTCCCCGGATCCACCCGCTGCCAGAGGGTGGCTGCAGTCCTGCCTCACAGAACTGGAAGCCCAGATTAGCCTTCAGTGCTGGCTGGAGCTGTCTTCCTACCGCCTTTCTCTCTCCCCCCAGGCAGGCACACAGAGCAGCACCTCCTATGCTGTGCCCTCGAGTGCAAGGCTCTAGCTCAGTTCCTCCACCTGCCCTCAGGAACAGACACTGGCTTCCCAAGCCCATCGCATGACTTGTTCGCATGGGAGTCTAGAAACACTGGTGAAGAAAGATGACAGGGAAGAGCATGCCCGTGAGTGGAGGCCAGGAGCTACTAGAGTGGAGAGGACAACTACGAGATTTGGCCTGAGAATTCTCCCAAGTTAGTAGAAGAAGCCAATCCTCACATTTAGGAACTCCAACAAATCCAAACAGGATAAACAAAAAGAGATCCATCTTACATCTACATAAAACCAAGGCCCAAAGTCAAATCTTAGAAGTAATCATATAGAGGAAGAACGTTATACAGGAAGAGCAGTGAGAAATCTGGTTGACTCTTTTAAAATCTTGCCTTATTAAAAGTTAAAGAGGACAAAAAGATCTAACTAAAGGAGAGACAAACCATACTCATGGATTAGAACACTAAGAATTGCAAAGATATCAGTTCTTTCCAAATCGCTGTACAAATGCAATATAATTCCAGCCAAGATCCAAAAAAATTTTTTTTTCATGCCATTTTAAACTTCATATGGAAGGTGGGGGTGTAGCTCAGTTGTAGAGTGCTTGTGTAGCATGTGTGAAGCCCTGAGTTTGGTCCCCAGCAACACACACACACACACACACATACACACGGAAGAGCATAGGTCAGGAATAACAGCAGAAGGGAGATCAGCAGAGTGGAGCACATGGCTGGGGAGGGAGGGAGGAGAGGTGCTGGGGAGTGTTATAAGTTCGAGCAGGAATGGCACTGTGAGTCCAGCTCTGTGTACAGTGACAATGCATCAGTAAAAGAAAAGAAAAATAAGCTTCCACAGAAGAGAGGGAGAAAAAAAAGGAATAATCAGCATATCCATGAGAAGGCTAGGAGACTTGCCTTTGCAAACTCCAAGTCTTACTGTGGGGTCACGGCAACCCAGAGTGCACTTCATGTGCAAGGAGGGACAGGCGGTGACCAGGCACCCAGCATCTGAGCCTCAGGTGAGGAGACCTATTGCATGCAACCACTCAGTGCAGACCCAGGAGAAAAGGGATCACTCAGAAATGATGCCCAAGAGCTGGCCATCCCAGGAAGAGTGGACATTCATAACAAACACCAAGAAGGTCAACGTGAGAGAGCGAGCTGAGACATGTTAGAAGGGAGTTCAGGAGAATTCCCTTCCTTTCTCATCGGGGAAAGATTTCTTAAAGAAAACACCAGCATAGACCAGAATGGGGGACTGGTGGGTCAACTGCACTGCAGATGTGGAGTCCTGCTTCTCTAAAGACACCATGAGCAGAGAGGACAGACCTCTGTGGCCTGACAACCAAGGCAGGTTTACATCCGAGTTAGCAGCGACCACCCAGGAAGGAGAATGGGCAGAAGACATGGCATCCTGGGCAGCTAGTGCTGGGCAGATGGAAACACTGTGTGTGTCTGCACTGGCCTGAATGGGAGCACAGGGGCCTGCGTCGTGCAGCGTGGGCCAGCACTCGTGGCCCCAGTGCTGGTCTGCTCTTCTGTTCCGGTGCCGTAAAGTGAAGGGAGAGTGGGGCCTGGCTGTAATGCGGTGGGTGCCTCCCTGCCTCTCCCCTCCTCCTACCAGCTGCCCCACTCCTTTCTTTATCCCTCCCTCCTGGTGATCTGGAAGCACTGGAGCCACAAGTGTGGTTCTTTTAAATGTTAGAATTATCTTTAAAGCTCCTTCAGCACTTAGTCCTGTTCTTTCCTTTAAAAAAAAGAAAAAGAAAAAAGTGGAAATTGAGTCCCAAGAGGAGAGGGCTGATAAGCAGGGCCAAGCCAAGATAAGAAAGATGCCAGCTGCCTTCCCCTGCCAACCCACCATCCACTTACTCACTCAGCACTGCCCGCCAGCACTGCCCCACTCTATCTTTGGTGGGGGGGCGGGTTATTTGCTAATGTGGCAATTTTCTCTTAAAAAACAGAAAGTATATGGAGCTAGGAGGGTTAGGGTGATAGAATTGAGCTTCTGAATGTCAGTCTAGAGGCCAGTGGAGCCAGCCTTGAGAAGCACTTGTTTTACCTGGCAGATGGCTTTACCTGTGTGCCCAGCAGGTGAGGCTGCAGAGTAGGTGGGCAGCTGGGATGGGCAAGCCACAGCTGAGGCATGGCAGCACTCCAAAGCTGCCCTTCACTCACAGACCCCTTTACAGATTAGAGAACTGAGGCCTATAGAGATCGGAAGTTCCCGTGTCCACATGGACCAGCTGAGGCCAGCTCCCTTGCCCCCAGCCAGTGTGCCTCACAGTCCTGGTGATATCCAACCACATGGTCTCCAAAGATGCAGGACAGATGGAGGGGTGCTATTCCTCTGGGGTGCAGGGCAGCCTGGCGGATGCACGTAAGAGCACAGGAATAGCAGGTGTGAGCAGAGTACAACTGTCAGGATGCCCCAGGCCTGTGGGTGCTCACACAGGTCCCCACCCAGCACCTACCCCTGAGGCTCACTGCAACCCCGGTTGGAGCACATTCCTCACTAGGATGCCCACGAGCTCTGCTCCCTCCTGCTGCCTGTGGTGGAACATGGTCTCCCCTGTTCCTTGGCCTTGGCCATCTTGCCTGGAGGCACAGTGCTTTTCCTGTGACTTTGACTGAGGTCCTGGTGATGTTGTCTCCTGTCCATGCTCTTCTAGCCTTTACCAGGCAACTCCACTCGGGAAGTTTAACCACCCATCAAGGTCAAGTCACGGGACACATGTGGGCCAGGGGGAACCAGGCAGTGCTGTACCTGGGGCCGGCAGCTGGTGCTGTGACATGCCAGGCTGCAGGTATACCATTAGCTTTCTCGCCCTTGCTGTAGCCTTGTCAAACACCCCTTCTTCAGGGGACACAGAACTGTAGCTGACCCCAAGTCACCATGTCCCTTGACCTGAGCTGCTCCTAGGACAAGCTAGGACTCCCCTTTGCAGACCCAGCCCAAGTACCAAGGCTCAGGGAACAGCCAGGAAGCTAGGAGAAGGCTGCTTTCAAGATATGCCCAGTGTAAACATGGCCACCTTTCCTGGGGAGGGAGGAACTAGACATCTGACAGGCAAGTGTCCCTCCAGAGCCAGTGCAGGGAACAGACTGCACTCTCCAATTTCACTACAGTCAGCAGTCTGGGGGCCCGCCCACCTAAGTTCCATCTCCAAGGTGTGATCTCTGAGGCCACAGGCCTGTTCTCATGTCAGAATCCCACACAGTAGATGCAGGGAGATGCCAGGCTGGCCAGCCAGCACCCCAGGAACCCCATTCCCACAGGCCCACCCCAGTCCCTACCTGGCTCAGGGGGAGGAAGGGCCAGCCAGGGAGAGCGCCCTGACCCTCTCAGGGCAGGGAGCTGGGTGCAGAGGAGGCCTGGATGGCTGCCGCTATCCTGCATGGTCCTGTGTGGAGGAGCTGGATTCCACTGGGAAGGTGCCACCGCCTCACTTGGCACACCCCCAGCCTCCGCCTATTAGGAGGGGTGGTCTCTGTGGGAGCTGGGACATTGCCCAGAAGGCTCGTAGCCCTGGAAGAGCCAGGCCTGAGGAAGGCCAGCGCCCTCTGCCCTGGGGCCCCACGCCTCGAGAAGGTGGGAGAATTCCAGGCAATCTAACTCTGCTCCCAAAATGTGGACTAGTTGACCACATTTTACCTTCATCTTCTACGCCTCTCAGTTTTATTTAAGAAGTGAGGCTCCTGGAAAAGCCTGTCTGGTGGGGGCTGAGGAAGAACCTGCAGGACAGTAGTGGGCACAGACAGAGGCTGATTCACACAGAGCCTACAGCCCTGGGGTCCCTCGGGATCTCAGCCATGCCCTGTAACCCCACGTAAGTCAGGAATCCCTGGAGAGGACTGCAGGGAAGGTGCATGGCCCTCACAAGGCTCCCAGGCCGCTGTCTAAAGTGAGGCCTGCAGGACAGGGCCAAGGCAGGGGCAAGGTCTAAGGATGTGCCTCTGGAGCCCAGAGGTGTGAGACCCTTAGAAGCCCAGTGTTCCTGCTCCATGGCCCTCAGGTCCCCCTTGCACTCCTTGACCCAAGGACCCTGCCAGCCTCCCCCACACACACAACGAGGCCTGGTGAGAGGGAGGCAGGGCTGGTTCAGGCCCCACGGCTACTGACAGCCAGGCCCACCGGTTCCACCCAGGCCAAGTCCTTGAGTCCTGCTGCGTCTGCCATGTGTCCGCATGGCCCCCCTCTCTCTCTCTGTGCAAAGTTCTGTTACTGCCATTTTGATTTGGTGTACTTGTGCTCGATGACAATAACCTTCTTAGCTCTCGTGTCCCTCCTGCCCCAGCAGCTGACCAAGCTCCACCAGTTGGCCATGCAGCAAACCCCCTTTCCTCCCCTCGGACAGACCAACCCCGCTTTCCCCGGTACGTACCCAGCTGCCCTTTCTGACCTCCTTCTCTTCCACCTGGGGACTTTCTCTGAACTGCCCTTATGCCGAGCAGCGAGCAGCGCAGGCGCAGTGGAGGCTAAGGCCCAGGCTGCAGTCATGCAGTGGGCTCGCACGCAGCGGGGCCAGGGCCAGTTCAGCGTGTCCAGCTGGGGGCTAGTTTGCCTCATGTTGACCTTGGGTGTCCTTGCCTGTGCAGAGACATCTGCCCCTCCGTGGATCCACGCTTGGCCAGCAGTGCTCTGTGCTGCCCACAGGCTGTCCTGTGGCCCTTCCTGTGAAGGCACCCAGGAGGCCAGCCCTGGGGCATTTCCTCTCCAGGAGCAGGTTCTACAACCACAACGTGGCTGCACTTCTCAGGGTGGCCCAGCCCTGGATGGCACCAGCCCTGTCAGGGAAAGCAGTGATGTGAGCCAGCCCGGCCCAGGCTGTGGTGAGGCAGTCAGAGCAGCCGGCCGTGGCCTAGCCCGACATCTGGCAGCCGGGCATCCTCCCACAGAGGCAGAGCAGCCCCAGTGGCTGTGGCCGGTGACAATCTACCACCGTGTGTTAGCCGTGCCAGTGCCAGTCATATTTTGAGCTTCCCTAGTTGAAGGGACCTTGCTTATCTCCTTGAGGGCAAAACATTAAACCTGTCTCTTCTTTGCTCTCCAGGAGAAAAGCTGCCTTTACACTCCTCCGAAGAAGCTCAAAATCTGATGGGCCAGTCGTCAGGTAAAACAGACCACACTGGTGGGGCTGTAGGCCARGGGGGGCCCAGCCCCTGCAGCAGGCTGTTCTGCAGGAGGAGGGCGGGACCCCACTCACACCTGGGGACAGGGTTTGTGTGCCTGGCATGCACACCTGCCAGAAGTTGGCAGCATTAGTGGCTTGGGACTAAAGACAAGCGCTGCCCAGGAGCCCCACAAAGGTCAAGCAAGGTAGCTGTCACCACGTTGTTGGCTGGCTGGTGGGTCTGGGCATGCGCAGAGCTGGCAGTGTGCACCGCAAGGGGAGGGCCTCTGCTGTCATGGTCCTCGTGGTGAGGCAGCTGTGCTGGGAGGGAGCTCCTGACCTTGCCTTTTAGAAGGTGTTCCTCAGGGCTCTGAGCAGACCTGAGGAAGGTGAGCACGGCCTGTCTGTGCCTCCTTCTGATGTGCATCACATGTTTGCCCTTGGGACATTGCAGCAGGGAGTGCAGAGACCTGTAGATGCTGTGACAGGGTACGAGACCCACGTTGTCTGGGTGTGAAGCCTTTGGAGGAGCCATGCTGGGGCTAAATCAGCTAGCAGGTTTCCTGGGTCCCTGTGATGGAAATGCTGTGTACCCTTCACCCCGTGTGGACTGCCCGAGCACATGGCCAGCACCGTCTGGCTTCCTGGCTGCCTCCCCTCACCAAGGCCGGAGCCCTGCAGCACCCAGGGCAGCATCTGAAGAGGGGTGGGAGAGGAGGAACATTGGCCTGAGCTCTGAGGGCTGGCTGGGCTGTCTCCTGTGCTGGGAACTGCTGCTTCTGCGTCAGACAGATGAGCGCACGCTCTGAACAGAGTCCTGAACTATCCGCTCAGTTGGTATATGCTCTTAAGAAGAGTTCTGCCACTTTCCTCCCTCAGTCAAAACATGCCAAGTCCTTAAGTGTGGCCCCTGTTCCTGTCTCATCCTGAGCAGTCAGGACTCAGGACTAAGGGAATCTTTCAAGTGACATTTTAGATGTCACCATTTATGGACTGTGTACAGATAGTTTAAAAAAAAACAAGTAATTATTGTATTGAAAAGATATGTTATGAAAAGAAGATAAAGACCAGAAATTCCAAGTTTAGATGTGCAAAAGAAAAAGAGCAAAATTTGGGATGAATTGAATTGAACCACTCACTTCCACTGGGACCCCACTGTGCTGGGCACTTCCCTCAGGGCCTCTCCCCTGGGAGACTGGAGCAGGCACCTGCCAGCGCGGGGGCCCAGGTCCTTGGGGGTCACTGTGGGGAAGGTGGATCTCGCTGAGGTTATTTTGGGGAGACCCCCAGGGCTGTGCAGAAATAAGACTGAAGTAAGGGCAGAGGCAGGACCAGAGGGCGAGAGCGGCCACCTGGAGCAAGAGCAGGGCTCAGCCATAGCCTTGCAGGTTGAAGTCACCTCTTGTTGAGGAAATGGGTCACCAAGTGCAGAGACCTCTTGCACTCCAGGAACAGCCACGTGGCATCCATCTCAGGGGCTCCTTGTACCCTATTTCCAAGGCCAGAGGGGGCGCTTAGGCTCTGAGGCGCTGTCTCTCAGTGGTGTGCAGGCTGAGCCCTGAGAAGACAAAGCCTGAGCTTCGTGGTGGGTAGACTCTGTCCTCACTCTCCACTGCAGGAGGGAAGGCTTTGCAGAAGTGCAGTCTGCGCTGGGTCCAGAGTCCATCTTGGCTCGGTTCTCCTGGCTCCCATCGCAAAGAACCATGTGGCGACCTGGGCTGTCCCAGCTGACCAGGACTGGGCTCTGATCAGAGTTGGGTCAGAAACATAATAAACAGCAAGTGCTCTGTGGCCACTGGTCACTGCAGCAGGACTACCTGGGGTCAGGGGTCAAGCAGAGCAGGCTCTGAGCCAGAGAGGTCTCCAGGAGCTGAGGAAGAAGGGGTGCTCAGGGTTAGCATGCCCTGTGCCCTGGACACACATGGATGCCTGAAACATGGTGATGCCCTGCTGAGCCCGGGGCTCGCTGGGGTCTGCACAGGGAGTGGGGGAGCACATGAGCACATTTGGAGTGAAGTCCAGGTGTGCCCAGAACCAAAGGGGGATAGCATTGTGCTTGGGTCTCATTTTCCTTTTGAGAGAAGTCGGGGCTTAGGAACTGAGGTTGCTGTGTGGGCCTCATGGGGTCTGAGCCCCTGGGCTTGCTGATTCTTGCCCTCAGCTAACCTTTCAGCCCTGCCCTGTCCAGCCCAGGGGAGTGCAGCCAGGCCTGGGGGTGTAACCTGGAGCAACCTTCCCACCAGCCTAACCATGTCCCCTTGGTGTGCCCAGGTCTGGACGCCAGTCCCCCGGCCAGCACTCACGAGCTCACCATTCCCAATGATGTGAGTATGCCCCTGCACCCTCCTGTCCTCGCGCGGGAAGGCCAATGCGGGCACAGTCACCTCCACCCAGTGGCACCCTGATGGCCCTGCTCCCATTCCTGATCTCTCTCCTCCTCCCTTCCATGTTAAGCTGGTTTAATGCCAGTTACAGTGTATAAGTCTGTCTGCCTCAGATATCCCACCAGAAGGGGTCTTGGAGCCTTCGGGTGGAGCAGAGCTTGGATGCCAGAGTGGGCTGGAGTACACCTGCCCGGTGGTTGTGGCCTAGTTCAGGTCAGACCCTGCAGAACCAGCGGCCCGGGTGGGTTCTGGAACAGACCCACCACACCACAGCCCACAAGCTCTCTATGGAGCTCTGGCTTCAGCAGACCTGAAGTCCATGGGCCACAGGCTGGTCTGGATCCAGGTACGTGAGAGGCTGTGGCCTTGGAGCCAGCCTCCCTAGCACACTCAGTCCTCCCCAGGCTCAGCAGGGTTCTGGTGAAGAGGGGTGCCATTCTCTGAACCCCAGGATCATTCTACTCTAGATCTGGACTTGTGAGAACTTCCACTGCTCTGGAAAGGCAGGAAGCAGGCAGGCAGGAGGATAAGAGGCCACGGAAAGCCAGCCAGCCAGTGGAGGGACCATGAGGCCTGTGGCCGCCATCATGGGGCATCCCCTGTGACTGTAGGCCAGGCTTCTGTGTGGCCAGGGCATCTCTCCAGGGCTCTCCTGTCCTCCAGCTGCGTGGTGGGAGAGACCCCAGCCTATGTAGAGATGCATGGGGTCCTCACTCCAGCACTCAGCTCAGGCCACAGCACAGGACCATCTCCAGGGCAGCACCGCTACCCTGTGTTCTTGGAGGAGATCTCGGCTTTGTTTGCCCCCTGCCCCTGGTCCCCCTGGCTTCCCTGAGCAGGTGGTTCCAGCACCTGCCATGTCCTTTCACCTGAGTGATGAAAGCAGTGCCTATCCTACCAGGAAGGGCCTCCCCTCAGCCTCTTACCTGCACACCGCTCCCTGCACCAGGGAAGTGCTCCTGTCGAGCTTTCATTCCAGAGCTCAAGTGGGGCCACGGTCCTGCCTGCCCACCCTCCCCAGGGGTCTCTGTGGGGAGGGAAGCCTGCCCCTCAGAAGGGTGGCAGCGCCCTCACCCATGCCTACTCGGAAGCACGGCCTGTCGTCCTGCTCCCAGGAACAGGGGAGGACTTCCCACTCACCCCAGACCTCAGGGGACATTCTGGGCTGCGGCCACTGGCACAGTCCCCCAGGGCTGAGGTCTGCAACTGGCAGACACCTGCCACCTTCGTGAAGGTGAGGAGGGAAATCAAGCGCTGGTTCTGACACTTGCCATCACCACGTCCCGGTCAGGCTCCTGGTCACAGCTGGTCATGCCTCATCTACAGGCTGCCTCAGCCCATCTGCAGAAGGGCACTCAGTGATGGGACTTCTGTGCTTGTGGGTCTACAGCAGAGACCCAGGCCAGGCCAGGGAGCCCCCACACCCTGGTTCACTCCCAAGGTCACTGTGGACCTCCCTCATGGCCCAGTCCAGAGCTTGCTCCTGGCCATGTGGCTTCTCGTGCCTGCCTCCTGTGCTCTGTCCTGAGCCCAAGCACCCACCTGCCCAGGCTGAGGCTCCCTTCTGGTCCTGAGTCACCAGGGCCTTTTGCTGTATAAAGCAAGGCAAGCTGTCCCATGGAGGGCTTCCTGAGGAGAGGCCAGGCAGGAGGTATGGCCACAGCTCGGTGTGGCATCTGGCAAAAGCAGCCACGTTTTTTAGAACATTTTACTTTCCTTTGCACTTGTAATGGGGGGTGTGAAGGTGAGAGGGGAGTGGCCTCAGGGCTGCATGTTGATGGCCCAGCAGGTCCAGGAGAGCCAAGTGGGAGGGCCCTTGGGTCGCAGGTGCCCTGAAGTATCTGGCCTAGGGCAGGGCTGGCAAGGGGCTCTGTGGCTTCTCACATTCTGCTGTGACTCAAGGGCAGTGTCATCCAGTGAGCGTTTCTGCTGAGGGTAAGCATGCTCCCATGGCGGGGACCCCCAGCACTGGACACAGGACGCCTGGAGGAGGGAGAGGGCTCGAGGCCCGGGGAGAGAGCCGCCCTCAACACTCCCAGGCACGTGCAGAGGGGAGAACGGGGGCACTACTACCAGGCCAGGAGGAGAGCAGCGGTGGTCAGCACTGTGAGGATGGCAAAACTGCCCAGGTGGGGAGAGCCCAGGAAGGAGAGCAGGCCATGGGGGCTGGGGCCTCAGCAGTGGTCAGACCACTGGGTGGTCTGTACTCTCCCTCGTGACGGGGCAGAACTATTCCTGCCCAGTTTCAAGGTCCAGCATGCCAGGCCCTGGTCCAAGATGAACCCTCAAGATCTGGCACATAGCCAGACAGGTTCGTGGGCCGTGTGCAGGTTGGGAAGATACGTCCCTGGCCTCAGGGCCCAGGCACACTCAGAACAACCACACAGGCGAGAACAGGGAGGGGTGTGAGTGCCCAGAGACACAGGCGGGAGACTGGGTTCTGGGGAGTGGAGGCTTCACCCCACGTTCCCCAAGAAGGATCTTTGCAGTCTAGTGAGACCACTGGTCATAATTCAGGTAACCAGCAGGTCCCTGTGGGGACAAGAGCTGTTGATGCAGTACACATCCCACCTGGTGGGACTGCTGCTCATCACCAGCTTTGTGTGATGGGACTTCTGTGCTCATGGGTCTGTAGCTCCCCACCCCCACCTCCTGCCCAGCCCCAGCCCCTTCACCCGGCATCTCACGGCAGTAGGGAAAGTGTTCGTGACCCCATCTCCATGCCCTGGCTCCTGGGCCAGTGCCCACAGGAGGTGCAACCATTAGCGTGGGCTCCTGTGGGCTGCTTGCTGTGGCCTGGGGCTCTCTGCCTCTGTCTGACCTTCCTTTTCCCATGCTCACTCCAGAGCCCTCTGCAGTATCTGTGGATGTGGGGTTTCTGCTCCAATCCAATGGCAAAAGGCAAGGGATGCCACCTAGCTCCTCTGCCAAGTCCTCTCTGTGGTCTGCTTTGATCCCCCCATGCAGCAGGTTGGGCCAGGAGGGGCTCTGGCTACTGCCAGAGAGAAGGCCATGGCCTCAAGGCTACTGCCCCCATTCCCAGGGTGGCCCACTCTTTTCCCTGAGCTGCCTAAGAAATGGTCCCTCCCTTGGTGACCACATGGTCATAGCTACTGCACTCCATCTTTAAATGGAGGTCACAGTGTCAAGGAAAGGAATGCCCAGCGAGCTCTCGGGGTCCCAACAGAATCCACCAGAGGGCAGGTCTCTGGTGGAGATGAGCCCCCTGCATTCCCTCAGCAAGCCTGTGTGACACCTGTCTCTTGGCCAGAGTCTTCCTTCCCACGCTGGCGTGGAGTCCCCAGCTCTGCCTCTGCCCTGCCTGCCTCCGTCACTCCTGTCCAGGCCAGAGGAAATCAGCATGAAGTGGCAAGGCCTTGAGACAGTCATCTCTTGATCTGATGGACCCCCAGCGGTGGGGCGGGTACTGAGCAGAGGCCGTGTGGTACCAACAGGCGAGCCCAGGCTGCTCTATGGAGGGCCAGGGGTCATGCCCAGGAGCATGGAGTTCCCTGGCTCCTGAAGAGGCCCTGCAGGGGACTCTCAGGATGTCCTCTAAGGAGTCCCTCCATCCTTCCTTCTAGCTAATAGGCTGCATAATTGGACGCCAAGGGACCAAAATCAATGAAATTCGACAGATGTCTGGAGCTCAGATCAAAATCGCTAATGCCACTGAAGGGTCATCGGAGCGTCAGATCACCATCACGGGAACCCCGGCCAACATCAGCCTTGCCCAGTATCTCATCAATGCCAGGTAAGGGCCTCCACGGCCACAGGACCCTACAGGGGCTCCTAGCCCTGGCCTGCAGCCCACCTCTCGGCTTGGACAGTTGAAGCAGGTGGGAGCCCAGCCACACTCTCCTTCCTAGCTGGACATGGGGACAGAGTGTACTGGGCAGTCTCCTTATTGACACGGGCCACCCCCTCTTCTGGTTGGTTACAGTGAGGAGCCAGGAAACTGGAGGAGTGGCCATCCAGGGTGGTAGCGAGGTAGCATGTCCAGGGAGGTCCTAGACCTGGGCCACTGGCCTTTGTCAACCAGACTGGTCCAGAAACATGGGAGCCTGGACACTTTGCCGTGTGGTCTTTACAGACCCCTGGAGGAGGGAGAAGACCAGGGCTGAGCTGGCCCCTCCTTCTGTGTCCCGAGCTGAGCCAGGCAGTGGCACTTCCCCTACATCAGCTGGCAGGAGGCTGATGGAGCCATCTAGTGGTGGCAGCCCCAGGTGGGCTGTTGGACTTCCTGCCCTGGTGCCTCCCCAAGGGGTCCCAGTGAAGTGGGAAGGGGTTGACCAGGAGAGACGAGGACCCCCCAGCCTGACTTCACCCTCCCATCTCCCCTTCCCTGCAGCTCCCCCAGGGCCATGACCAGGCTCCAGTGGAGTCTACCCCTTTCCACTCCTGGGCCACACTGCTGGGCGGGCAGGGACCAGGCAGGTGTGGAGTTGGCCAGTCAGGAGATGGGGTGCAGGGAGGCTTCCAGCACCTGCCCCCCACATGCCCTGATTCTACTGCAACAGCCCAGCTGGAGCCCTTCTGGGTGCCAGAGGATGCTGACCCAGGTCACAGTATTCTTGTGAGAACTATGAAGTCCCTTCTTAGGTCAGGGGAGTGAGATTTAGAAGGTCAGGATCGCCCTCTAGGGGCAGGCCCAGGGGCTATGGCTGCTGACCAGATCCCCCAGTGTGACACAGTGATGGGCAGGGAGAGAAGTCCCTGTGGATGCTCCAATTGGCCTGCCTCCTGTGTGCTGTGCCTTGTCCATAAGTGTGCTGCTAGGACCACATGCCAGGCCACAAGGGTGCCCTGCACCCTGCCTACCTCGCCCCCACCCACCTCACAGGAGTGCCATGACACGCCCCTCTGCCTTTGTCTGTTCCAGGCTGACGTCCGAGGTCACCGGGATGGGCGCGCTCTAATCCTACCCAGGCCACTCTGTGCACCTGACCGCTGGAGCCCACGGCCTCACCGGCTGGCGCACTCTGTACAAACCGCCTGCCCTTCCTCGCAGATACAAGTAGTTTTCTTACGTACCGACGGTCCATGCAGTAGACACCAGCCCCAGCCGTCTGCGCTCAGGCTCGGCCGCCCGCCCCCTTTGGTAGTTGGAGCCCGTCTCCATGCATCGGCATGCACTGCTAAGTATTGTAACGCTTCGGGGAACTCCCATCCGTGACATGGTAGAGAATTGTCCTCAGTGTCCGTGTGACTGTCTAGGATTTGGTCTGACGCTTTGGCACACTTCCTGTGACCTGCCGTCCCTGTGCTCACGGTCCCTGCTCTCTCCCCTGTGCCCAGTCTCCCCTCAGAGCCCACGCGGCCTTGGCTCACATTCCCATCCAGTCATGTGCTGGGATCTGGGCTGCCTTTCCTGCAGCCTGTGGGAAACGCCCAGGAGAGGAGAGGTCTGGGGGACGTCTAAGGAAAGGGGCGGAGTGGCAGAGGGTGCGGGGCCCAGCTCCACAGGGATGTCCCCTGGGGGAGGCACTTGTGGGCCCCAGGCATCTTCCGGGGTGACTGGAGAGTGCAGCCTCTCCAGAAAGCCCCTCTGCACTGTTGGAGTTTAATAAACGTTGTGCGCCTCCCCCATCGACTCCGTCTCGTCTCTGCCCACAGCGCCCATCCTCACCCCTGGCAGAGCCCTCAGCCGTGCCAGCCTGCTGGCCAGAGCACTGGGTTCTCTCACAGTGAGCTCGGGTCCTTCGCCCCTGTCACAGCCTGCTCTTGCCCTTCTGCCGCTGAATTTGCACATGACTTAAATGACAAGGGTGAAAACCCCACCCTCCACTGGCACCAAAGGTTGGGCCCACCTGGTGGCCCAGCTGCTGTCAAGTAATGAGTGCATCCACACCCCCAGCTCAGGGAACCATGTCCTGCCAACAAGCAGGTCCTTTTGCCTGGCTTCTCCACCTGCATGCCCACTCAGTGCTGAGGCCCTGCACCTCTCTTCCCTCGGGGTGAGTGGCCAGAGGACCCCGACCCAAGGCCGGGGGAGCCCAGGAGAGCCGAGACAGGATGGCACCTCACCTCTGCCTTGCACTCCCCACCCAGCACTGCCAGCTCAGATCCCAGGTTCCTGGACCCTCCAGATGGCAAGTGAGGCCTGGCAGAGGCAGACGGACCCAGGCAGGGAGGGGCTCCACACCCTCTCACCCCAGAGTTGCCTCCTGGGGAGTCATGGTCCCTGCAGGTGAACAGCCAGCCTGGAACCTGTCCAGCTTCCTGGGCCACACCCCTCTCAGAGGGAACCTGCTTCTGGTCTGCCTGGTGACTTTTCCAGGTTTCCTCCAGGATGGTCCCAGCCAGAGGCACATGTGGTCTGTGCAAAGTGGCACAGAAATGAGCCCAGCATGCCTGGCCACTCACATGCTGCAGGCTAGGGCAGAGGCTCTCCCCTGGGACCTGCATGAGGGCAGGGGAGGCCACAGGGAAATGGAGGACACTGGCCTTCCCCAGCATCCATGAGCTGGGCAGCAGATGGCAGCCATGTCCTACCATGAGTGGGACAGAGAATGAGAGTGTCAACAAGATAAAGCCCAGCACGAGGGGTCAAAGGTGCAGTGTTGGACCCCCGAAGGCATGAACAGGTTGGGGTAGAGGTGCATCCCGGGTGAGGCAAGTCAGGACGTGCTTGGCCCTTGGCTGTGTGCCTGGAAACAGTCTCCCTCTGACCAGCCAGCCCTGCTTCCCCCTAACTTCAGATGACTTCACCTCCAGGCAAGAGGGGACAGGTGAGACTCCTCCTTCCTGAAGGGAGGGAGGATGGTCCAGGGCCCGTGCCCCAGCCTACAGCTCAGCCCAGCTCGTGGGAGTGGGGGATGCCTGGTCAGGAGCTGGGATGGGCACACCGTCCACCCCAGCTTTTGGATGGCTCCCCTGCCATCGACAGGACAGCTCCCTGGGCAGCTGTGTGAGGTGGGCACACATCATTCCATGCCAAGAGGTGAGGCAGAGGTCTGTTGGGCTGGTCACAGGCCTGTCACCAAGGGAAGCGGTGAGAACAGCCTCACCTGCTGACTTGGGAAGTCTCTTTTCCTTTGAATTGATCTTGAGATTCAAATTCGTTAACACAGTTACTTATCATGTCCTTGTAGGTTTTTAATCCTTTAATTGTTTCTCTATTTTCAGTCCCTCTCTCTTTTTTTTAACAAACTAAAGAGAATGATTATTGCATTCATAGGAATGGAACGAAAGCAACAGCATTATAATTTTACAACATGAGACATTTATGTAGAAGAAGTTTCATTTTTCAAAAATGTTACCCTATTTCTTCCCTTTCCATCTTCCTCGAGCATCAACAGCAGCCACTGACCCTCACAGACAAACTGCCCCATGGGTTTGGACAGTATTCACCTGAGTGTCATCTGTACTACTTCACAGAAGACTTAGCCATTCGGTTAGAAGGACGCACAGCATTAGAGAAACAGTGTCATGTGGACTTGAGGTCCTGTTTACTAGCACAAAGCCCTTTATTCACATTATTGAAACAGCAATAATAGAAATAAAAACTACTGTAATGAAAATAGAACTCAGGAACAAGGTCATTAAATGTAACTAAATACATTCTAACATAGACACCATGTAGTTCCTCTAAGTATCAGGTAAATCATAACCTATCTGAAATTCTAGTTTCAGAGAAAAAGGGCAGAGACAACTACAAAGAAGGTGCTTCGTGTTATCAGGTCCATTTTATTTATTAATAGCTTTATTTTATTTATCTTTACGTAGTGCTGAGGATCGAACCCAGGGCCTTGCACATGCCAGGCGAGCGCTCCACCGCTGAGCCCCAGCCCCTGTCAGGTCCATTTTAAACAGCTGAGATCCTCTGGGGACTCTGCACTGATCTTTCTTTTCGCACAGCTCCTGTTGTCCCTGGGTTGTGACAGTTTCTGTCTGCACACTGCAGTCGACCTTGCCATTCTTTGCATCCTTGGACTCTTGAACAGCTTTTCTAGGCCACAAGTTTCACAAAAGGGGAAACCCTAGGGCACGTGTACGGCTCCTGGATTTTTGCAGATCCAGAGCAGAACTGGACGAAGGCAGTACAAGGAAGGCCCATGGTTGTCCCAGGCTCAAGCTCCTCAATGAGAGGCCAGGCAGAGTGGACTGGGGCAGGCACCAGGTGCCCTGCAGAGTGGGGATTTCATCTTCCTTTTCTTGATTGACATTGTCAGAATCAATAGCTCTTATTAACCTTCTCGAAGTATCTCCTTTGGCTTCTGCTGGGGGTGCTTGTTCTGCTTTGCTGTGGTGTTGATTTTCCCAGGACCTAGGTCCTCTCTCCTTGTTGGCTGTACTGACCGTGCTGTGCTCTTCCTCCTCCAGAGGCTGCTGTGTGGAGCTCTTCACTCCGGACCCCATTCTTGGGGATGGGTTCAGCACTGTGTGTTCTGGGTGCTGCTCTGGGCATGTCCCCTGACCTGTGTCGGTCGGTTCCAGCCGGTTCTCATTCCCTCCTGATTTCTCCTGACCCGGGTTCTGAGTGCTTACCGAAGGCCACACCTCTGAGCTAGCTGCTCATTTCCATGTGCGCTGCTCATGGTAGGCACTCACACCCTCTCTGGCACTGACCCTCTTGTGACCAGTGCTGAGGTGTCTGTGGCTGTCCCGTGTCTTCTGGAACAGATGTGCATTCTGCTCACTTGATGTGAAGTCCTGCCGCAGTCTGGCTGGGCACAATTCAGGAGCCACTTGTCAAAAGAAACAAACTTTATTTTTAAAACTACAAACGCCAAACAAAACAGCTCCTCAGGAAAAACCCTCAGAGCCCAACTGCCACCACCGGCTTCCACAAGCCTCTCCCACACACCAACAACCACCTCCCACAATCCTCCTGCTCTTGAGGCCGATTGGCTAGGTCGCGTGGGCGGAGCCAAAGAAGTCCCCCAATGAGCAGTTCCGTAGTCTGAAGGGCAGGGAAACAGCCCAATGAACATCACCACAGAGGAGCCAATCAGCTAGATGTTGCTGGGGCCACTGTGAGCCAATCATCAGCCGGCAGCTGGGAGTTTGCTGGCAGCTGGAAGTTTTCTGGGGCCCCTTTGGCTGTGGCTCTCAACAAAGTCCCGTATCTCGCAGCCTCTTGGTCACCACATGGCCTGGTCTTGACCATCTTCACTTACTCGCTTCTGGTTTGGTCCATGTGGGAGGCAGAGCATCCCAAGGACATGGTATGTGATCCCTGGATAATCCCGTAACTCCATCACGTTGCATGCTGGGTATTAAGTTTGCAAACTAGTTAAGGTTTCTGCTCTTCTGACCTAAAAGTGAGGGGATAATCCTGGATGATCCAAGTGGGCCCAGTTTAATCACCAGGTTCTTAAATGGGGAGGAGGGAGGCCCAGGAGGTGCCAGGGGCACCGACAACCCCCAGGTGAGTGCGGGCTGTCTGAGGAGGCTAGGAGGGTGAGGAAAGGGAACCGGCAGTGAGGGCTGCAGCCCCAGGGCAGGCAGCGGGCTTTCGGCTCAGCTTGCTGAGACTTGGGGCAGGGCTCAGTGTTGCTGTGCTGGGGCCAGCTTGGGGTGTGCTAAGGGTGGGGTGCACTGAGCCGGGTGGGGCGTCTCTCTGCTCTGGTGCCTGCAGATGCCCGGCGTCTCTGCCTTGCAGACACTGGGTTTTTACCTAGATGCTTCTGGGTATTCGCCTAGTGTCTGATGTCTCCATTCTTTTATTTTCAACTTTTTTATTCTTTAGCTTATGACAGACTGATCATTATGAGATCTTGCCTTCTGTCAAGGTTTTCTGTGTTCTAAGTGGAAGGTGCCACATTGTAATGTTAGACTTTGTTTATGCTACTTTATTTCCCGTTTCCCATTTTTATACTCCATTTCTATTTTCATTGAGGTGACAGACCTCTCTTCCACTTGGCTACACATTAACTGTGGTATTTTAAACGTGATTGTAAGGTCAGGCTGCGGCGGCGACCAAAAGGAGGCAGATTTTAAAAAGACCATGAACAAGGCTTTATTGAGCTGTCACTCCCAGGCAGAACTCGATCAGACCGGCAGAGCAGCCAGGAAGAGGGTCGAAACCGCTGGGGGCTCCACCAGACAGGAATTTTATGGAGCTTATGGCAGGAAGGGAAGGGCTTGGGGCAGGAAAGGGGGTTTTTAGAGTCCGTTGTCCCATTGGAGTTGGTCGGGGGAACTGGCTGAGATCCAGGATTGGCCGGGAGACTCTGCTGATAGACAGGCAGTTGCACGGGTGCCTGATTGATGCTTCTTTCCTGTGCGCGGGCTGCTTGGCGCTCTGTTCCTAAGTCACCACCATCCACCTGACAGTGATCCCTGTTTATTCCTATGGGCTCGTATACTCCCGTGCCCCTCTTCTGTCCCTGAAACAACACAGTAGTCATGTCTTCAGTTTTGGTGTGTGTCATCATGAACATACTCTTCTCGCCTGCGTTTAACCCAGCCATCTTCCCCCAGGCGCTGGACCACGCTGGTGCCCGCTCACTGGGGCGCGTCCCCGGGGAGACCTCCCCTGCCCTCAGCCCCAGGGCCCGCACCTTCGGCAGGGCATTTCTGCCACCTCACTAGATGGCTTCAGCCCGACG